CCCCCCCCCCCCCCCCCTTTTAGGAAATCCTGGATCCGCCCCTGAAAAGTGTATACATATTGATATTTTCCCCACCAGTCTTTCATAAAAAATAATTCTATTGATTGAAACACGCCACACGAAGTAAAAGAAATTTGTAAAATAGTTTTTTGTCGATATTTAGTTGACTATTGATTTCCTATATTTATACATAGAATCTAAGTGTATAGGATCTGGCCTATTGGAACCAAACTGTGTTTTTTTTTTTATTTCGGATGAATCTAGAGAAAAAACACATACTTGCAGTAATGCCTGGTTTAGCAATATTTGCAAGTTTATTAAAAAAAAATAAAAAAAAATAATGATACTTTAATAAAAAAAACGAAGTAGAATTATTATCATATTATATAGTATTTCAGTTTTATCTGTACGTTGAAATAACAAAAACATAAGAATTTATCAACGTTGCGTGCATATATAACGTGGCACTTCAAAGTAAATAAAAATCTACATGTACATTACCACAACGTCAACTTAAAGGCGTTCTGCACGGAAAATCAATAGAACGAAATACAAGGAGTGTAACAAGAGAATGAGAAGACATCAAAATAATGCTCCTAAATACATATATAGTCCGTCCGAATTTATTTTGCATGATGCTTGCATGGCCGATGAAAGGATTTGAGCCTCGTTTGATATGTATTTAGTTGCTTGTATGACTGATGAAATTATTTGAAGCTTGTATTCAGTTGTTTATATGACTGATGAAGGATTTGAAGCTTGTATTTCATATATTTAGTTGTTTATATGACTGATGAAGGATTTGAAGCTTGTATTTCATGTATTTAGTAGCTTTAATTGCTGATGAAACGATTTAAAACCTGTGTTACATGCGTTTAGTTGCTTGTATGACTGATGAAACGATTTAAAGCTTGTGTTACATGTTTTAAGTTCCTTGTATGGCTGATGAAAGGATGTGAAGCTAGTGTTACGTGTTTTTAGTTCCTTGTAAGTCTACAACCACTGATGCATGAAAAGTGCTACAGAATTGATGACGCCACCCTATTATAATCTATTTATTCTGCATACAGTGATGACGCGATCTTATTAAGACGCACTTGAGCTGCTGTTGCTTAGGTAGGTAGAGACAAATGTTTCTTTCTCTTCTCTATCAAAACCGTTACTGGACCAGTAAAGTGTGTGAGGATATTTGTCTTTATGTAGTAATGCTGTGGTAAAGTGTGGCTTTCTGTTTGACACCTTTGTATACTTTATCAAAATGTGCTGATGCTGCGGTATATTTTCTCTTTGTGTGTTGATGCACAGGTACGTTTTGTCAATGTGAGCTGGCGCTATGGTGTATTTTTCACTTTTCATTTTTATTAAATAATGATTATGACTGGGGTCTCCATAAATTTACTCATAGTTAAGACCTATTTACATTTTCACCTTTTTTGCCCTTGGCATTATCGATGAACGCTAAGAGGGCAAACCTACTTACCGTTTGTAATTCATAAATGGCACACTGTACAAATATTACAATATATCATGGGTGCAACCACACACGAGTGTCTAACATTCAGTTTACAACGATTTCCTATTTGAGTGAAATAATGAATACAAGACAGGATTATATCACACGAAATTTGACTGTTGTTTTATTATGATTTTAAATTGCTTCATAGTTGTAAAGAGTAAACTCTTATGCACCTTATTCATTATGCAGTAATATAGCCTGATGAATGTACATGTTGTAAAGTTGAATGAAAAGTCAAGGTCGACGCAGATTTCTTGTGGAACATAATATTATTTATTTTTTATATGGGTCAGGGGTTTACACGAATGAAGATCTGTATCCGTTCTCAACCAAAAACTATCATCTCAGATCTGGAGAAAGACTTCAAGACTCAAACTTCTGGATATAAATTACATCCACCCTTTAGCTCTGTCTATGAATGAATACTAAAAACCGCACCAAAACATGTAACAAAGACACCTGGACTGACCACTAACGAAAACGAGGAAACACCTTTATTTAGAACAATTACCTTATATGGACGTAACAAGGTAAGACAAGTAACATGTGACAACATACTCACGTGTACAAAAACAACACAGGTAAACGGCACAGTGATCGTACACAGCACATGTATACGCGAACAGCACGATATACGCAGCGCAACAATTAATTTAATTTAAAAACATTTATCACAGCCTTTATTAAAACATCAATATTTTCACATTGCTGCATTCTACCATTACTTAGAATATGACGTCCTCGTCATGTACAAAATTCAACTTCCCA